TGAAGATAGAAGAGTTTGTTGAATCTGACGTGACATGTTCGCACGAACCCTTTGTACGAACAAAAGTAAGAGAAATTTAGGAGAAGAATACGAACATGTTCTTGCATGAGGCCCATTGCTCTGATCAGATGGGTATCTGATTTATACGGTGGCCCTGAAGTCCAAACTACATCAACAAGTCACTAAACAATACTACAAATTAAAAACACAACATTTTATAAAACACAGCTGCGTTTGCCAGTACAGCGGCGCTACAGGCAGAATAACTTACAGTTCAAAAGTCAAATGATGCCATTGTTCATTGAGTTTATCCAAATCAATTCAAAATGATTTTGTGTTTTTTTTATTTAAAGTTGTGTGTAGTGATTTGTTGATGATGTTTGCACTTCAGGGCCACAGTAGATTTAGTACCATGTACTGAAAAGTCCTGGGTCGGATTTGAAAAAGTCAGATTTGTCACGTTCATGGAAAAAATGGGATATTGGTCGTTCAGAGGCAAAAAAAAAATCTGTTTTGGGTTGCATTTACCTGCAGTGCGAACGCAGCCTTATTCACCCCATTCTCATAAAATAGCAAAAAGATATAAACCTAATAATTTATTACAACATCTCATTAGAAGTCTTTCTGATTTTCCTCCTGTTTGTCTCAGATTAATGTGGTTATGTTCGACAAAACCGGCACCATTACTAATGGTGCGCCACAGGTGACCCGTGTGCTGGTTTTATGGGACATGGCCCGCATGCCCCTGAGAAAGGTCCTGGCACTGGTTGGAACAGCAGAGGCCAGCAGCGAGCACCCGCTGGGCACAGCGGTCGCTAAATACTGCAAAGATGTAAGAATCCTATTTGTGTTAAACCTACTGTCAGCAGTGCCCTTCAGCAGGTCAAGAATATGTTTCTGAAGAACATATATGAAAAAAACTATAAAAACAACAAACAAACCCATCTTCTAACTGAGCTAAATATTTTGCTACACAAATGGCTAAACTAACACAAAGAATACATGTGTAGTTTGCCTCAGCGTTCACACAATGTGTCCAACAGGAGCTGGGTTCAGATATTCTGGGATACTGCCAGGACTTCCAGGCGGTTCCTGGCTGTGGTATCAGCTGTCGGGTGTCCAACGTGGAGCATCTTCTCCTGCCAAGTGATGAGAGTTTCCTTCAGACAGGAGGAAGCACTGATAGAAACGGGCTGCTCTCTGCTGGTGAGTCCCCGTTCACAAACTGAACATGGAAATATGTGATTTAGGATCATATGAGTGAAACTAATCGAGGTGATTCCTTCCTCTTTGCAGCTGAGGGAGCGTCTTACTCTGTCCTGATCGGGAACAGGGAGTGGATGAATAGGAATGGTCACCACATCAAAGCTGATGTTGATTCCGCCATGTTGAGCCACGAGACTAAAGGACAAACCGCCATATTGGTGGCGATAGATGGTGAGGACGAAATAACAGTGGCCTATAAAATACTTGAAAAAATAACGAAGTAAAAGTAAAATTACATGAACAGAAAATGACTTTGGTAAAAATAAATTTCACTGATGAGAAAACTACTCAAGTAAAAGTCAGAAAAAATGTTCACAAAAACTGGGAAGTAAAAGTACTTTTACACACTCTCTAAGTAATAAGCTGTTGCATTTACTGAACTAAACTGGTTCCACTAAGCCAAGTTGAGTAAACTGAGCAATATATGTTTATTCTTTGCTCAATTTACTTAACTAGACTTAGTGGAGCCAGTTGAAATGACTGTTTAGTAAATTCAACACTTCATGTTTTAGAGTGCAGAAACATCTCATTTCCTGATGAGTTTTGAACATATTTAATTTTGTAAAGAGTAACTAGGGGTTACTTTTTAATGTAAAGAAGTAAAAGTATAATTTTTTGCTTTAAGATGTATTGAAATAAAAGTAAAAGTAGCTATTTAAAAATACTTGGTAAAATTACAAATCCTCAAAAAAACTACTTAAGTACTGTAACGAAGTAAATGTACTTAGTTACTATAAACCTCTGCGAAATAATAACTAATGTTGTAGTCAAGACCACCTAAACCGAGACCAAGTCAAGACCAAGACCGCAGTGTCTCGAGACCGAGACGAGACCAAGACTTTTAGGGTTTGGACCAAGTCAAGACCAAGGTCAAGGGAGGGCGAGGCCGAGACAAGACCAAGACCAAGAAAAAAAAAGTATTCTGTACACATGTACAGTGGGGGTGGGGGGGATATTTATTCTTTCATGGTTGAGGTCTACCTATGATGTCAATTACAGGCCTCTCTCATCTTTTTAAGTGGGAGAACTTGAACTATTGGTGCTGACTAAATGCTTTTTTGTCCCACTTTAGCTAAATTAGAGCTAATATTGAC